CACAGCGCGTATTTCACTGTTTTTTTTTTTATTATTTGTTGTCAGCTCTTTTTCCCCTCTCTATTTTCTTGCCATCCTCTCTCTTTTCTAATTGGTACCTCAAAAACTACAAAATAAATAAATAAACTAAAGACTATTAGAGATGCTCTAAGGTTTTTGTGTATCCTACCCGCGAAAAATATATGATCGGACAAAAAAAAAAAAAAAAAAAAAAAAAAAGACTTGGAAGAATGGAGGCTAAGAATTTATCAAGCAGCTAGTTTACGGCATAAACCATTGACCTCTTGACAAGCCCACGGGTTATATTAACTGTTCTAACACACCTACTGCCATTTGATAGGACTAATAATAAAATATTCCTACTTCTATATTATTGAATCCGTGAAGTTCTGAATCGTGCCAAGTTTGGAGTAATACCAAATCTTATTATTTTACCAAACTTACAGTTCCATCTTATCCATTGACACGTACGTTCGCAACCAAACCTTAACCTAAGGTGGAAATTCAACAAGTTGGAGATATTAACATTATTTTCAACTATTTTTGTCAAACTTTACAATCAGTTAAGAACTTGGTGGGTGGTTAAATTAACAAGTTGGAGTTATTTGGAGTAATTAAGAAGTTGGAAACAATTTCATCATTAGAGGTTCAATGAGACTCAATCTCTGTATTTGAGGTTAAAAAAATTAAAATATAGTCATAGGTCAAAGTTTGGATGTAATACCAATTAAGTTGTGGCAGACATAATTACATGTAGATTATTAAGAATTTTCTTCTTTCAACTCAACTGTTCAATGATCAAAGAGTGATGATTTCACAAGTCATACATACTTTACTTTTTTTACTTCAACCATGCGATACAAATTTCTTTCACAGGCAGGTGATATATTCCTTTTTTTTTTTCTTCTTCTTCTTTAGCTGTCTAATACAAATTAATTAAAGGTATTTGGTTGACAATGCAAAACGTTAAATTACCTTTAAAATAAATTATTGAAAATATCATATATTTTTATTAGGAATATGTTCAACACATATTGGGTAATTGTATTGATAGAAAATAGGGAGTGATTATGCACAAAATATATGGTGGACTAGAGTTCATTTTGCATGGTGGACTCCATCTGGTCTAAAATGACGTCCTTTGATATTAAATGTCAACTAGTTTATCATATTTAATAACAATTATCATGTATTAAGTTCATAATATTGCTCTAGATGTCCATCAACATATAAACCTTAATGTACATAAACACTAAAATAAATGCACATCATATGTATTCACATTCACTCTACAGTAGGTTCATAAAAACAAAGTTTAATGTACATAAACAATATACTATAAATGTGTCATGTTTAATAACATTCTTCATTACTATGTTCATAATATTTGTTCTATATATCCATAAATATAAACCTTAATTTACATAAATACTAAACTAAATATACATCATTTGTATTTTCATTTACTCTATAGTAGGTTCATATGTAATGTTCATTCTATAGGTTCATAAAAGAAAATTCTAATGTACATAAACATTCAGATAGAGGACACGACCAATTAAGCGCAAGTGGAAGGGTTAAGGAGGAGATCACTTTCATGGGAATTAAGATGATGGTTGAACTCGATTGGTGTTGGTGTAGGTTTGCATGCCAAAAGACCTATGTCTGAAAGGATTCTGAAGGCGTATTTATATTGCCTTAGAAAGATCCCTTTGGATGAGTATATGGGCCACTTCTTTCAGTTCTATGCCAAGAAAGCATTTAAGTGATCTGAGATCTTTAAGATGGAATTTGCTTGTGAGATATTTTTCGAGGAGATTTGTAATAACTATGTCATTCCTTATAATAATAATATCATCTACATATACACATAAGATCGTTAGATAAAAATCTCTAAGTAGGATCTTGATGATTGTTTGAGGTCATACATACATTGATTTATGTAGGTGACAAACTCTAGTCTCAGCTCCCCTTTTCGAAAAAATCCAGGTGGCAGTTGCATGTACACCTCCTCATGGAGATTTTTAAAAATGATCCTAATTTATCTGATCAATCAACACTCACCCATATATTGCCATTACCCATACCATCCATTGAAACACACAATACCCCAATTACCAAACCTCTTCCTGAAAACCCCATACCACCCATTGAAGCACATGCTACTCCAACTACTTCACCTATTCCTAAGAATCCTAACCCCACTCCTCCCATACCTACCTTTCAAGAAAATCCTCCACCTGAGGTTAATTCCCCAATGCTTAACCCACCCATCCCCACGCAAGTGCAACCTATCCTACAACGATCTCAAAGGAAACGAAAGCCTCCTAGTTACCTCTCCGACTACCAATGCAACATGACCACATCCACAAAATATCCCATCTCCAACTTTCTCAACTTTAAACCATACAATGAAAACCACATTTTCACTTTGCTTCATAAACAACATTTCTAAAGAAACCAAACCCTCTTCCTTCTCCGCTGCACGAAAAGACCCTAAATGGCAACAAGCCATAGAAGAAGAAATTCGTGCTCTAGAAGCCAATCACACTTGGTCTTTAACCACTCTACCACCTGGTAAGTCTGATATTGGTTGTCGATGGGTCTATCGTATTAAATATAACCCTGATGGTTCTGTAGAGCGGTACAAGGCTTGCCTAGTCGCCAAAGGATACTCTCAACTTGAAGGGTTGGACTTCACTGATGTCTTTGCCCCTGTTACTAAGCTTGTCACTGTCCGTACAGTTCTAAGCATTGCAGCTGCACAAGGATGGGCTACCCATCAACTTGATGTCTCTAATGCCTTTCTTCATGGCACTCTTCATGAAGAAGTCTATATGCAGGCCCCTCCCAGTTTTGGGCGAAAGGGGGAGAATCGTGTTTGTCGTCTCCACAAATCTCTCTATGGGCTTAAACATGCATCTCGATCTTGGTTCACAACATTCTCCACGTCCCTCACTAATGCTGGCTTCACACAATCCAAAGCAGATTATTCCATGTTCACTTATATTGCTTGTTTATGTTGATGATATTGTAATTACTGGGAATGATCCGACTATCATTACTATCCTCAAGCGTTACCTTGCGCATCAATTCCAGCTCAAAGACTTGGGTCCATTAAAATACTTCCTTGGAATAGAAGTTGCACGATCCTCTCTTGGAATCTTCCTAAATCAACGAAAATATACTCTTGAGATTCTCTCCGATACTGGGCTATTAGCTTGCAAACCCACCTCAACTCACATAGAGGTTAACCACCAACTCACTCCTGATACTGGTGAACTTCTCACTGACCCCTCCATATATAGAAGATTGATTGGTCGTCTGCTCTACCTTACGGTCACTCGACCAAATATCACTTATGCAGTCAATCTTCTTTCTCAATTCATGTCCGCACCACGTGACACACATTGGCACGCTGCTCTTCGAGTTGTGCGTTATCTCAAAATGTCTCCTGCTCGTGGTATCCTATTATCCACAAATAACTCCTTAAAATTACATGCATATTGTGATGCTGACTGGGCCTCTTGTCCAACCACACGACGCTCAACTACAGGATATTGCACTTTCCTAGGAACAAGTCCGCTATCCTGGTGAACAAAGAAGCAAACCACAGTTTCTCGATCCTCTGCTGAAGCTGTATATCGTGCCATGGCAAGTGTAGCAAGTGAAATTACATGGCTCCAACTACTCTTATCTGAACTAGATATACCAGCTCATCTTGCACATTTACATTGTGACAATCAAGCATCTCTCCACATTGCCAACAATCCTGTCTTCCATGCACGAACAAAGCATGTCGAAATTGATTGCCATTTCGTTCGAGAAAAGATTACTTCTGGTACACTACGCACCACTTTCGTTCCATCTAATCAACAATTGGCCGACATCTTCACAAAGTGCCTCCTTCCTCAAACATTCAACGCCATTACTTCCAAGCTCATGTACCACCCTTGAGCTTGAGGGGGAGTGAAGAAGAATAAATATTTATATTACATATCTTATAGAATATTTTATATATGTATTCATAATTATTTCCATATTCTTAGGATTATAGTTTAGGTAAATTCCTAGATGATTGGTTCTCTTACCTTTCTCATATTTTATACTGTTAGCATAGTTGTATATATATACACACATTGTATTCTTCTTTTACATACAACATATATATCCAATATATATTTTTCCTTATCTTTCTCTGCAACAATGCTTTGCATTTTATTCTCAACTCCTTACAAGCAGGTCCCTGGAGAGCCAAGTTCTAGTCATAAACCTTTATAAATCCTCCATCTGTTTTAGCAAAAATGTGAACATGGATTTGCAAGAATTGATTAAGAACATTATATAGGGGTGAGGAATACAGGGTCTTCCAAGTAATTTTTGAGCCTACTTCCTTTAGTGGGAAAAAAAACAAAAAGGAAATTTTTAGGTTTTATTAAAGTTAAAGTTATACTACATGTACTTTCTATTCAATCATTATTGTGTAGACCATATTTTATATACTATAAAATAATGTATATTTAGTACAAAAATAATGTATATTCAGCACAAAAATAATGTACATTGTATTCAGGGGATGTACATTATTTTTGTACTGAGTGTACATTATATTGTATAATGTACATTCAGTACAAAAATAATGTACATTTAGTATATTAAAAATGTAGTTTTTGTTATGGTCCACATAACATTGTGTGGACCATGGTCCATACAATAATTTGCCCTCTCTATTCCCTAAATTTTACTTGGCTGATATTGATAAGTTAATTTTTTTTAACGTGGGTCCCAATGCAAACGTCTAAATCAAAATTTTTTACTCTTTATTTGTCATGATCCAACTGTCTATTATTTGCTCGCTCAATTATCATTTCAAATGGGTACTCACAATTTTGAAGTTGTGGTGGGAACTTAAATTCTTTGAACTCACAATATTTGAGAAAGTATTAGAAGAAATCTCAAAGAATCTACGGAGTAAACTTTTTTTCTTCATGAATAGACAATAGTCCATTAATAAAATATGATATATATCAATAGAGAACATGAATTGATACAAGGCATACAATGATCACACACATATATTATGGCTGCTGCAAAGTATAGAAACAATATCTCCCCCATCCAACAGGACAATGGATGAATGCATTATCTGATGATGAAATAAAGAACAGAACCCAGTAAATGCAGGCAGCTAAGAGCTTCCCTTAATAGCTTAAATTCCCTTAAATGTCTCTATACTTAGCACACTCAATAGGAACCGTAGGGTATCTGGCCTTATCATAGCAGTAATTGTAGACGGTGTATTTCTGGCGAACCCATCGGAGTCTCCTGTACTGCTCGGCGTCTAGGTCTTGGAACGCCTTCTGGTCCCACCATCTCTTGCCAACTGTGTTGCACACCTGGACTTCTTGTGAGGTGGAGGCCATGCAGCCGTCCACGTGGAAGGATGTGTAGGATGCTATGAAGGGTGCTTTGGACCAGTCCGTCTTCTCCAGCCCTCCCCGAGTGGCCCAGTCGTCGGCGTTCCACAGGCTGGAGTACAGCTTCATGGGCTGGTTGAAGGGGAACCTAAGACCCAAATCCTTGGAGTTCTTGAAGATCCTAATGGGTACATCGTCCACAAAGAACCTGCGGTGGCCCAACCTTGTTGTGTTAGAAAAAACAAGTAATAAAGCCCATGCCCCATGCCTCATAAACATTATATATTCAACTTTATTATCATATTATATATTATATATAGCCCTCCCAAAAATAAGTGTAGCGTTTGAGTGACCAGAAAAACCTGCAATCACTACTGGAGAGTATATATATATTAAATTCTACCTTATGATCCTAGTCAGCAAATGACACACGAAAGTAAATCAGTTTAGGTTTCAGCTCAAACTAAGAGAATCAATAGGTCGCTCCAACTAGGAGTGAAACATTGAACTTTATCATTATTATTATTAAACCAACAACGTAGCATTATTATATTTTTTAGTATAGTCTAGATCTATCCATAGTATTTACTTAACAAATTATGTCGACCCTTGGGATAGGATTCAAACATAAGTTCTTTATGGAAAGCAACAGTGATGTCATCAAACGACAAAGTATTATCATTTGATTTATGAAAGCACTCCGAGTGGAGCAACAAGACCAATAGACAGATGTTGGGCGGAGGCTAGATAAAGGGCCAAGTCCATCAATTGATGGCTAAGGGATTGTTGAGCTGAGACAAGTGAAGGACCAAGTCCAACACTTTACCTCTCAAAAATGTAATACAATCTATAAGAAAATAAAATTACACATTTACTATCCATAGTAATAAATATTTGATCCTAACCGTGCATTTATGAGAAGCTAAAAGTACAACAAAGTAAACTATAATGACATTATGAGCTTTTAAAGCGTTTTATATTTTATTCAAAACCTTTTTTATAAAGCATACCAAGACAAACACAATAGTCTTATGTACAAATATATCACTGCAAAGGGAATCTAGAAAACAACAAAAGTTGTGGTGGGGTTTCACGAAAGCTGTTTCCTTAATGTTTTTCTACATACAAACATATAAGAATCAATTTCAATTTGATTTTACAACCTTGAAATTATTTATATAGACTATTGCCTCCCCTTAAATTTTCAACCTGATCAATTCATCAACTCTGATAAAGGTGAATCATTACAGTACTATTTTTTTAGGTGAACAGACATAAATATCTCCGTATCATCATTTATAAAGTTTGGAAAAGAGCAGCTGTAAATGTTTTATAGGTGAAAACAAATCCAGATTTTAATTCGTCAGGACCACTTTATAATAAAATTATTGAAAATTTTTACCAATGCCACAACATATCTTCATATATTAATCAATAAATTTTAGTTGGCTATATAAGTTTTATGTTTACTCTTTCATTGTACCTATTCTCTTTCATATTTATGCTTCAAACCAATTTTTTTTTATTTGCTTATTTTATTTCATATTCTTATAAGCTTTAAATTTTTTTTTTAATAGTACTTTATATATATATATATATATATATATATATATATATATATATATATATATATATATATATATATATATATCAGGTGATAACCAACCTTAATCTGTGAACTGTAAACTTTTGAAGGATTGCACCGTAATTATTATATGATTGCACCGATACGGCTACTCGACATGTTCGGATGACCCTATGGTGCAATTGCATCCGGGTGCAGTGCAATCATATAGTAAGTGTGGTGTAATCCTTCCAAAGTTCGCTGGTTGACATGTTAAGGTCAATTTGCACCTGATTCCGGACCATTTAATACTTTAAAAAATTTTAATTAAAAATAACTCCAGTCTAATCTTGTTAACTGAGAGACAATAGTGGGCAAATATGGTTTTACCATGACCAAGTGACCAAGTCAGCAACCAACCAGTTTGAAAATAGCAAGGAAACACCAATCAAGGAAAAAATTAAGGAGGGAAGAAACTTACACAATACAGTACATGTTCCAAAGAACAGAGTAGGAGTGGAAGCCCTTTGTAGGGTCAAACCAAAGGTAAATCCTCTGTTCTCTGTTTCCTTGGCCGCCGGTGAACACATTGGTCTGAAGTATGTAAGGCTGCCCTGTCCTGTTCCCCAAGAACTCAAAATCTATCTCGTCGTGCTCCGCATTGTTCGACGATAACTGCCCACAAAAAAAATCATTCAATTCTTAATCTCCATGTTTTACACAATGCTACCAAGAAGAAGAAAAAGAACTGGTAATCTGTAACCCCAGTCAAAATGACTAAGGATACAAACTTGTAACTATAAGGTTACAAAATTTAAGCTGATCAGCTATGCGTAACTAAGACTGGTTTACTTCCATGTTATCCTTTGCCAGTTAGGATCAAAAACCAATATTTACTCGGTGTCATGCTACCCCAAGATGGCTAAAGATACAAACTCCTAACCATACTGATTACGAATTTGAACCCCTAGTCTTCTTGGTTTGAACTGATCAACTATGGTCAGCCTTTTAGGCTAGAGTAGTGCAAACCATTAGATAGTGGTTGTGAATTTTTCACTTAAATAAAAAAAATGAAGAAGAAGATGCATACATAGAATGCTGTGACAACACCAGCTGAGTCTCCTCCAACAAGCTTCATCCTCATGCTGAAATGCCCAAACTGGTAGGAGTTTTTGGACTGAAACCCAGTCCCTTTAACCCAAAACAAAACAGCAAAAAGGGATGATGAGATTCAGATCTAATTTGTTTAAAATGGAATAAAGAGGGTAAAGAAGAGTAGAGTACCTGTGTTCCTGTCAAGAACAAGATCCACAGATCGGCCGCCATTGATGTACTTGATGTGGTCTGAAGCCCAAGTTGGGACATAGTTCGTGGAGAATGGAACATCCACTGGTCTCCTGGGTGCCGCACAATGAACACCTAGTCCTAGGTTGATGAATACTAAGCCCAGAAATATGAGTTTGCCCACCATTTTTGCCAAACCTATTGGAGAATGGAGAACAGCTCTTTTAAGTAACTACTATAAATAGCTTAATAAAGCAAGCTTGGGCGTGGTGTATATATACTAATGAGCTGATGAACAACCCCGTTATATTCTTTTTTTTTTTTTTTTTTTTTTTTTTTTTTAATTTTTATGGAAACCCTCTGTCACCACTTACCACTATTTTTTTATTTTAAAATTTTGATTACCTAAAATAATTTAATTACACACACCTGACACCATGTTCTCTCAAGAATTATTTAAGACTTTGGATCTTTATTATTCCATTTAATAGACCAAATATTTCTTGTTGATTTTTGTCGTTCGGAGAAGGTTGAATCTCCAATCTCAAGGGCTCCCATGTCCTGATCTGACAGAACATTTGAATAATGTAAATCATGGTAACTCAGTTGAACACAAAGGTTAGATATTTGCTTACTGCACACAAGGAATATAATTATAGTAACTTTGTTGAACTGTTGCCGATGAGACTCAATCTCGAATCATTGCTCTCAAATTTTACTATTGTGACCAACTGAGTTGTCCATGCGGACATTTCTGCTCATTAGTATCAAGAAATTGACTTAAAAGTAATAATGAAAATCAACAAGACTTTAAGTCAATTTCTTGGAAGGTCCTGCTCAACTATGCATTATTTTTTTATTATTATTTTATATTCGTACTAAAAATATTAATCATGAAGAGATTACCTTAGCCATTATTATCCGCAAATTATATTGTGGATCAAGAATCAAGATCCACCTTATGTTGTATATCCTGTCATTTTGTTTAAATTAGCGCAACTTTTTTTATTTTTCTTTCCTTCTGATCAGCATTCGCTTTTGTAGTAAATACATAATTTTTAATTGTAGGTAAAGAAACTTACATCTATGAATACATAATCTATTAACCTATAAATGTGTCATGTCAAGTAATTCTATATATATATATATATATATGGAAGGGTTCAGGTGCAGGTATAGCTTCCCGTGCGGTTGTGCAATTAGATCTGAGCCGTTGATCAAATTTAGATCAACGGCTCAAATCAATGAAAATTTAAAAAAAAAAAAAAAAAAACGCGTGTATGGAAAAAAGAAGCATAAGTTAAAAATGGCGCACCTTATGTGATAGAAACACGCACCTTAAGTGTTAGATCTTAAGCACAAACTCACACACATTAAGTACAAACCCACACACATTAAGCACAACCTCACGCACATTAAGCACAAAATCCACGCACTTTAAATATTAACTCACAGACTTTAAGTTTCAACAACTACTGACATTATGCACAAACTCACGCACATTAAGTACAAAACTCACGCACATTAAGCACAACCTCACGCACATTAAGCACAAAATTCATGCACTTTAAGTATTAATTCACAGACTTTAAGTTTTAACAATTAATCACGTTAAGCACAACCTCACGCACATTAAGCACAAACCTCACGTACTTTACGCACAAAACTCACACATCTTATATACAAAACTCACGCACATTAATCACAGATCCGCTCACCTTAATTTTGACCTAGACGCAAAAATTACAAAATTGCCACCGCGTTTTTTTTTTAAAAAATTTTGGTAATCCTGCATGTTGATTTAAGCGAGATGAATTGCCCATATTAAACCGCACAACCGCACCTGGGCACCCTAACCGCACCCGAACCTAATTATAACATTGTTTTAAATTTATAATATATGAAATGTGCGCAAATAAACTCAAATTTAAAGATTCATAAAATGAGTGTTCAACATATAACTATGATTATTGTATAATTTTAATATACATTTAGTTGAAAATTATCAAGTTTTTATCATGTGTGTCTGTGTTTATTTATTTATTTATATTTATATATGTGTGTTGAGAGAGATATATATAAAATAACAATTAAATAGGTCTATTTTTAGAAAAAAAATTATTATATAGACTCTGAAGTTCTACTTTTAAATTATTCTCTACTCTCAAATTTTTTATGTAGACTTTTTTTTTGGGAGCCACGTGATGAAAATAATTTATTATTGTCCGCCACGTCAGAAAGTAAAAGTGAAATAATAGAATTTAAAAGTACATGTAGTACAACTCATTCTCATATCCCTTATTTCATTATTGACATATTTTATGAACCAAACATGTTGATTTCTTGGCTCTTTTAATCATACTTTAGTTTATTATGATTGGATTAAAGGTGGAACAATGAACGCGGAAAGAGGTGAGAAAAGGTCAATAGAGAGGATTATTATTTTGGTCCCTTAAGTGTTTATCAACTATTACAGCTCGTTTGGTTCGCTGGAAAATATTTGAAGGGAAATGGAATTGAAATTCCATAGGAAATAAATTCCAAGAAAATAGATTCCATTGTTTGGTTGGTGGAAAAGAAATTATTGGGAATATGAATTCCATTGTTTAGTTGAGTTTGGAATGATAAGGAATAATGTGTATAATGACAAATATAACCCTACACAACAATAATAATAATATAATAATAAGAGTAATTAATAAAGAATGGTGAGGGTAAAATTGTCATATTAGTTTTCCATGGAAAACAAAATACCAAGAATGAGTAAGGAATTTGTTTTCCTCAACCTCAAGGAAAACTTTTTCCAATAGAAAATGTTTTCCATCCAACCAAACAACATAAAACATCATTTTCTTTCACTTTTAAGAAAACATTTTCCATGGAAAATGTTTTTCATCCAACCAAACACCCCCTTAATGTCGGTTTTAATTATCAACTTTAATTAATTTGATTATCGAATTGTTTAAAATTTTCTTAATTAAACATTTGAAAATTAAATTGACTAAATTTTTAAAATAGAAAAATTATCATTTTAGTCATTCGAAAAGACTTGATAAAATTTTAAACAATTCAAAATCATTCAATTTAAAAATTAACGATTATATCAACAGTTAAAAAATAATTAAAATATCAAAATAATAATTTTTTAATAGTAATATTGAGAACAGAAAAAAGCATCAAATGAAAAGAGGTGTTGGGGGAGCAATCAGCGGAAGCATGCACAAGAGATCTGCCTTCTCGAACACCGAGGAAACGTTCACGCGATATTATGGCACGTGGACACGCGCCCTCGTAGCTGGAAACAGCCCTTCTACGTTGTCACTTAATTATACCAACACCCCAGACCATTCTAATTCTATTTCCAGGGAGTTGGGACTTTTATTTGGAGTATTATTACTTATTATTTTACGTGCGACACACAAAAATATACGTCTAATATTTAATATTTTTAAAAATAACTAACAAATTTTTATTAATTAAAATTTATATAAAATTAAATTTATTTAATATATTAATTTAATATACAATGTCTACAAATGTTATTATCATCAAAAAATATAAAAAATATATATGGTGGATGCATTTTTTATTTAGATTTAGATAATTTAAAATTCAACTGTTGAACATGCAATTGTAATACTGCATTTTTTGTATATTTACTTTTAGGTTTATACACATTTAATAAAAATTTAGACTAGCATTTTTTTTTAAAATACTACTGACTATTACTGCAGTATCTGTTCATAATTACTTTTTCAACATATTAAAACACAAAAGTCAATATCACCTGCCTGCATTAAGGCTCGATCCCGCAACCTCCCATATGAGGGAGTAACTCGGTGTCATTAGACCACAAGGTCCATGGTAGTGAATTATATATTTATTGTTAATTTTTTAAAAATATATTTATAATTACATACAAATTATCATAAATACTATATATTTATAATTTAATTTACTTAATATGATAAAATATGATTAATATATATTTATCAAAACTCCTTTCAAAAAAAATATATTTATCAAATTAAATTTTATTGATGTGAGGAATTACTTTTGGTTACTAATAATTTCAAATTAATTTATTTATATGTGTATATATGTTTATTTACTCAATAATATAATTTTCATTAATAAATAATATTTTAAAAATATTATTTATTAAAAAATACAAATTATAATACATATTATAGAATATGAATAATATATTTATTAAATTGAAATTTATTAATTTTCAGAATTTATTTTGATTACTAGATTTTTTTTAAAAAAATAATAATTTTAAATTAATTTATATATTTATAGTGTTGTTTTTAATTTGTATGTATTTATTTATTTTATATGCATAATTGTCGTTTAAATTATTCTAAAATATTGAAAGAAATTTTGAAACATGTCATTTATTAGGAAAAATTATTTTTTATCCAATTTATTAATCAAATACAATGTATATTATACAAAAATGATTTGAAAAAATTTATGGACAAACTTCTGTTATTATATAGCATTGACCTTTAACAATGGAGGTTTATGTAAGTTATCGTGATTCGTTTGTGTTTTGAAACAGAAGATTTGAAAGAGTTATATTGAAATTCTGAAAAGCGATTCTCAACTGACTATATAAAAAATATATATATATATATATATGTTGAAGTAATATAAATCTTCAATTTTATTCGTTATTAATTAATTACAACTAAGTTGAATTTGTTGTATTAGGTATGATGGGACTGAATGCATCAAGATGATGAACCAAGCACAGGTCGGTTCATGAAAACAAATAGGTCGAAAGATGGTGGGTCTAGACAATGACCCATTGCATGTACCTATGAAGTTCTCCAAATTCTCTTGGATATGTAAAAGTTTAGATGGAGTTGTAATTGCATTAAAATTAAAGTATTGTATTCCTAATGTAATATAACTAATGTTATAAAGACATGAAGTAATAATAAGGTCTAAATTAAAATTTATGAGACATATATACAATTTTCATGAATATTTCTCCATATTCTCCTAACAATAATATATGCACTTTAGCATTAATAAACTCTCTTCACTCACATTCAAAAAAAAAAAAAAAAACTCTCTTCACTCATGTCAAGCACTTTGTACTCAGTTGACACCTTTATGACTCTCCTTGAGAAAAGATCTAATAAAGTCATTAATACTCAAAAAAAAAAAAAAAAAAAAACTTTCTAACTTCACTCATATTATAATAGAGTCGATAGTGTTCACAATAATAATAATAATAATAATAATAATAATAATAAAAAATAA